TTTAGGACAAATCTTTTATTCTTCTAAGAGCAAGTGCTACTGATGGGGATTCTGTGCATCCTTATTGTAGACAAAAGGCAGCATACTAATGAAGTGTAAGATTTATTATCTCCTGATGTCAGCTGGTCTTCCAGGAGATCCATTAGTCTTCTGACCATGTGTTCTTTCTCCAGGTGTAAGTTATTAATTGATATCCTGGTACAAAGTTTTATCCCTCCTTTCCTATGCATTTAAACACTGGTTTAAATCATTTTGATAGTTTCTCATTTTATAAAACAGGATTACGAGTCAGTCTTTCTCCTGTCTACCTCCTGAATCCACATATCCTCAAAGTGAGGAGAAGAAAGAAAAAATGTGAGTTTTCTGGTGTCTCCTGTTCATCCCTGAGTTCATCTTTGATGCAATTTTCCTAGAGCTTCTACACAAACCCTTCATTGTCACCTAATCACCTAATTCCTTTTCCCAGAAAATAAATAACCTTCCCTTTCTACAACAATCTGCTGCTGCAAAATGTGATTTGTAATTCCTTACCTACTTACCAATAGAAAAAAATGTGTGTGTGTGTGTGTGTGTGTGTGATTAAACTCTGCTTATCATTGGCTCTTATTATTTTATAACAAACAATCCTTCACCTTTTACTCTTATTCTACTTTGATAATGTATGGGTATTGATAGCTTATCTATCGCCAATTTTTTTATTTACTTGCCTGTCTTCCTCATTAGGTTAGCCTTCCTAAGATAGGACTGTCTTTCTTCCCTCTGACCCCTGGGTCTAGCTCTGTGCCTGATATATAGCAGCTTCTCAGTAAATGACAACTGCCGTGTCAGCAGTGGGGCACTGACTTCCAGGATACTGGCCGAATTTACAAGACTCATTCACCTATAATGGAAAAATCTATTGCTGCTCTGCTACTGGTAGCCATTTACCACTTGACTCATCCTTAGCACAAAGGGGGAATTCTGATGTGATCGGTAAGACTCATTCACCTATAATGGAAAATCTATTGCTGCTCTGCTACTGGTAGCCATTTAACACTTGATTCATCCTTAGCACAAAGGGGGAATTCTGATGTGATCGGCATGACTTTCTCTGACACAGAGTCAAATATAGAAGACTGTTAAATAAATATCTCTTTTGTTTGTTTCATAAAGGGCTTAGAACTTCAAGAAGGATGAAATAAAAGCCTCGTTCATCACTATTCAACCACATGGTTTGAGCACTGATTTTGCACTAGGCACTGGGAACACGAAGCTTGGTATGGAAAGGATCCCTGGTTTCAAAGAGTGAGACTAACAGTCCAGGGAGGCAGACTGACATGTCAATATATGTTGTACTATAATGAAAGGAATAAACTCAGTGCTATGGTGGCACAGGGAGGAGATAAGGAGCCAACTCAGCCTGGGAAATCTATAGACCCCACGTGGATATGACCAAGCAATTGGAAGACTGAGGGAAATTCACAAAAACAGGATTCTCTATAACCAATACTCACAGTTTGTGTACTCTGGGAAGTGATCTCTGAGACAGAACTTAGCATTTGGGACATTTATTGGGGAAGGAGAGAAAGCAAGATTAGGCAGAGGGAGAAGTCAAGGTGTGATGCAAGCCTGCAGGCCTTAACCAATTTCTGGGAGAGCTCTGGAGCTGAAATTGTCTAAGAGTTGTCCCACATTTGGGCAAAATTGGCCAGGCCTTTCTATCCTAAGCTCAATCATTGGATATGGGCAGGAGGTGACCTTGGGAAGGTGGATCTCTGCAGCTGAGGCAATTCCTCCAACACCTAAGGCTGTTGAATGCTGTCTGTCAGTTGCACTCCCAGACTATCCCTTGTGCTACTCAGATTCACTACTTCCTTTGTGTCCAGTGGGCCTCTCTTCCTTAGAAGGGGAGGTTAGTAGAACAAGTTACACCCCCTGCTACTGAGACCCTCTCCTCCACTAACCACTCTAGAATCCCCTTGCTCTCAGCTAGTATATCTGCTGGGTTTGGTGGCTTAGCTGGTGGCATGACCCAGATTCTCATTCTTGAGTAGAATGAGTCCCTCATCTCCATGCCTTTCTCAGGCTAAGGATACTACTCTCATCTATTTCCATCACAATTTGGCAAGGGTGTAACAAGAGGTTCCTAAGTAGATCACCTGAGTTCCACAACATGTTCCTCCATGCCCATGCCCCCATTGTGTAATAGTGGCCCTACCTCCTCTTGATGATTAGGGTCAAGGATCCCTGCCTAGATAAGGACTCCTCTTCTTATTTGTTGTTTCTTCAACACAAGGAGCTTAAATGCCCAGGGACAGCCTTCTTACGGTTCAATGGTATATTTATTTTGTTCTCTGGGGGAGTATTTCCTCTCTGGGCATCAGAATCTCTAACGCATCAGAATCTCTAACCTCCACAGAACCTAATGTGATGGGAACGGGTAGCACAAATTCCCTAGGTGTTTTGTTGGGAGTGATGGGAAGTAGGATCATTCCTGCTTTGACCCCTTTGGTTCCAAGTCCCATGAATTTTTCCTACCAGGGACATTGCAGCCCAGAGGATGGTGCCCAATTCTTGGAAAGTATTGGCTCTGAGCTGGCACTTAAGCACGTCTTCAGCAAGCAATTCCAAATATCTAACTGACCCGCAGCTTGGTGTGGAATGTGATAAAAAGCCAGGGGAATTCCATGGCCATGGGCCCACTCTCACATTTCCTTTGCTATAAGGTGGGTCCTTTGGTGTGATGGCTCTTATGTGGGATCTCATGTTGTTGGATCAGACACTCCTAAAGCTCTAGGATAGTGGTCCTGGCAGAGGCTCTGTGGTCAGAAGAAGGTAACATATAACCAAAATGTTTGTCTATCACTGTCAGAAAAAAATGAGTGGAAGGGGCCCAATGTATTCAACTTCTCACTAAGTGGTTATTTGGTCTCTTTGGGGGATGGTGTTTCAGTCATGACTCAACACTGGTTTCTGTTGCTGACATATTGCCAGTCAGCCAACGACACTAGTTATATCAGATTTAGTTAGTGATAGCCCACGAAATTGGGCTCATGTACAGCCTCCTTCTTTCCCCATGGCTCTGTTCATGTGCTCATCATGCCAGTATTGGGTGGCCTATGACATTGGCTAACTGACATCAACCAGCCCAGTTGTTTTGTCTGTTTGGTTGTTTAGTGCCTCCTTCATGGTAGATCATCCCTGGTGGGCATTAACGTGTGATAAAAAGATCTTCACACTTCATGTCCACTCTCTTATGTCCATCCACAAATGTATATGCTACTTAATGAGAAATACCGTCAATACACCCTAAATCAATGATTTCCACTTTAGCCTCTGGGAACTCATTCAAATTTTCCCAATCTAACCTTTGGCTAACTTTCCCCAGGACTACCATTGAATTGATAGTAAAACTATCAATTCAAGATTCTTTTTAACTGTTTTTAGAAAGAGACACCATTTAAGCC